ATTATAAGACTGAACTTAACAAGGAACTATGAAGTATCTGAGTTTCTTTCTTTGAAGAATTCCATAATTAAATCATGTATATTCTTGAGGTTATCAGTAAGGTCATACTTATAAATAATGAATTTATTCCTTTATATACATCTGATGATATTAGTGATAATGAAGTTTTTTGTATATCCATTTTTAGTAAGATGTCATACATCTCTCTTAGCAGAATAAATACTTCAAGAAGGGTACATGTGTTAGCTATTCTTAGGGTCTCGGTATGAATAACAGATCATTTTGTTCGTATTGCAACATTTGACTCACAATATGGAAATCTATTGACCATGAAATTGAAATCATCCGTTTTATTATATAACTTTGTATTGATCCGATTGTTTTCTATTTTTATAGAAACATCTAAATAATTGCTACCTCTTTCCGTTATATCAGTCCTTTTGAGTTCTAGTATATTATTGCATACTTCTTTGAGAATTGCTTCAATCTCACATTCTGTTTTATCATGTATGATTAGCAAGTCGTTCATATATCTGTATGGTTCAAAAATTATAACATTACTTCTCTTCATTTTTGCTTAGTTATACTCCATAACAGAGAGGGTGACTGCCAGCAATGGACTAAAGTTACCTCCTTGTGGCACTCCTACTTTTAGCGTGGAAACATTATCGCCAAATATGCAGTAACTATTGCCTAGTAGATATTCTATTAGGTACAACCGTACTTCTATTCTGTAGTAGCGGTAATTTGAATTGCTAGAATCTGAGGATGCATAAAAAACTTTATAGCCATTGGTTGCCACAAAAGTTTTTCCGGCGTTTTCGAAACATAGACTGAATAACTCATTAATGCTATTGACTATATGTCCGTGTTTTATGTTAGTGAACATATCTGCAAAGTCCGCTGTGTAAATTTTGATATTCTCATTTTTTACTCTACTTATTTCATAGCTTATGTTGATATTATTGACTGACCAATATGTTTTTATTGTCTTGTTACAATGTTGTATTCCTTTGATATAATTAATGGAATGTTTTTAATATGTGTAAAGATGCGTTGTAGCTCTTTAGCCATTGGTTTGACGGAGCTCTTCCAAGCTTCTGTTATAAACCGAAACTTCACCGGATGTTTATGTAGTTTAGGAAGGATGTATATGACTGGTAATTCTAATTCCAGCTCACCTTTAGGATTGGTATTTGAGCACTTATTTTTATGTTGTATTATTAATTACCTATATTTTGTCCTACAACTAATTCATATTTATCATTTGTATTAGTATAATTATAGTTGCTTCGATTATTATTATATGTGATCCCCATTTCTTTCATTATTATAGATACATAAAGTTTTTTGCAGACTATACCATAATTATTACAAGCTTTGTCTAGAGGAGAGAAAACATAATCGTTCTGATACTATTTAAGGGATTTAATCGGAATTTTTACATCTATGCCTCTTAGATTTTCTTTAGTGGACAGAGGTTTTATTCTTTCATAATAGCTATCACCAGAATTGATTAATAACACGGTGAGAACGAAGGCTATTTTTTCGCAGGATTTTGACCGTTTCACTCCGCTCCTTCGCCATTTCCTCACTATACAGCGCCCGACTAGCATTTAGGACGAGCACCCAATCATCGTGCCAACTGCCTTTAAGTTTCCTGTAGTCATGCCAGTTATTGCATTCTGCATTTATTACATGTCAAACAATAGAGAATTCGATTCTCCAAGCAAGTTTGAGTATACAAAATCTTTTCCCGGCGCATTGTATTCAGCCCTCTTTCGTGTCGAGCGGATGTGACACTCGTGTTTAGGAAGCCAGTCTATCCCTGAGCACAAGTTTTCGGCGGGTTTGATGATCGTGAGTATCCAGGCAATTCTAGGTTGAGCAATGTGAATTCGTTTTTAGGAGGTCCAACAACCTCGAGGCTTTCAGCGATTCGCGGATCGTGGGCATCACCTGCCTACGGGCGCTCAAGGCGGTTCCAGGTGCGAGCGGATGTGATACTCCTGTTAGGAGGCCACAACTACCCAAGGGCACACAAGCTTTCCGGCGGGTTTGGTGATTCTAGGTGATCCTGACGCGCAGCACCCTGGCGCGGGCCGCTTGGCAACTCAACGCAAATCAATGTGATTCCGGTATTGCAGAAGTTAAACTTCCCTAGAACGCGAGTTTTCAGCCAAATCTGCCCCATAGAAATAGCCGTAAAAAACCTGGTTTATTTCTCCGAAAATCGGTGCAGCAATAGTTTGACTAATAAGTAATAACTGTAGTGACAGTATAACATGCTGAACTCCAACTAAACTTCTATGACATCATTGTCCTTACAACACACACAGTTTTGTACGCGAAAGTAATGAGTCTGGCGTGTAATGTAGTGTGATCGTGCACCACGACATCAATGTTTTTCACTGGACGCGCAAAATTGGGGGTACGGTACGCGCGCCTGACAGGCCTGAACTTATAATCTTGTATAATCTGCTAGCATGGACACTAGCTCATCCGATCCTGCATCATTTTTGAAAGAGGTGGTAGGCTCCTACAAAGTGGGCGGGGCCGTCTGCCACAGCCTAAAAAAGTGAAAATTCGGAAGAAAAATCAAAATTCCGGCGAAAAACGAAAGTGGGCGTGGTCATAGGGGCGGGGCTCAAGTGGCGGTAGGTGGTGTAATATTTGTGTAAATGCATGACTATATTCGTTTTGTAAAGATTGAATGTGAAAAACACCGCATTGAAAAAAAGTTATAAAAATTAAGAACTATGTTGTGTACATAATAACGCTGGTGAGGGAGTGCTAGGCTGCAACAGTCTTCAGGTGGCGGGAGCATACTTTTCACAAGTGAGGGGCCTGGCCATGGGTCAACGACTAGCGCCGGTTCTTGGTGTCTGTTTCATGGGCAGGATCGAGGGAACAGTACTAGAACGTCGTCCCTAATGTGCTGCCAGATATATATGTTTCATCATAACGTCGACACAGTCCGAAATGGACGAATGTTTTCGGATTATGAATGAACAGTCGCAGTACATTAGACTCACACGAGAAACACCCACACGACGGTTGGCTCCCTTACCCGAGACACGGCAAGTAAAAGTAGCGGTGGCATCGTTAGCGTGAAGTGGTACCGTAAAGCACAGTTCAAAGAATATCTTGCTCCACGCTTACGTCAGCTCATCCAAAGTCGTCAAACGTGCAGTTGTCAACAACAATGGCTGGAGAACATCAACGAATATGTGGCATGTTCACAGTATATTGCTTTGGCAGTCTTTATTGTTGACTGCCTGCGGTGAGTCGGCTAGTGGTAGAATGTTGACTAATCTAGGGCGTGCCTCTCATACAAGAGAGGTCACGCATCGAGTAATCTAACTAATTTAGCCTCTGGGTCATAATCACATGTCTCAATGTTCCTATGGGTTATACATATCCAATCACTCAGTCTTAAAAGGATGCACGCGGTAGGTTCTGGTGACAATCCAGAACAGTGCACAGGCGAAGCTGAGCGTCAAAAGGATCACGAAGCTTAGCATGTGAGATAGCAGCTATGAACGGCTATAACCAGTACCCACAAGGGTCATGGCAGGCAGCGCAGTAATGTGTGCGAGAAGATCCCCGCCCGAACAGCGCTACCCGCTATGTCTTCCTTTCATCTCCGATGCGCAAAGCACCGCAATACAGCGGGTTATTGTTAGAGGCACAGTTGCAAGATGTTGTTCCAATTACGTGGAACACTTCCTAACAGCAACATCAACATCCAAGCGGTTCGAAAACAGGCTCTACCGATAAACATGCATTATCGGCGAGATTGTGTATATGTCCATATGGCAGCCATTTGGTGATTGCCAAATTAGGTGTGATCTACGCAAACAGAATGCCAGTCGTGTATCATATATCGGAGAGACGGGAAGACCGTTAAGGTGGTAACGAATAAACGAGCACCTAATGGTATGAGGCGGGTGCGGCTCACAACAGCTGCTGGTAGACATAAGAGTGAGGGAGCATAATGGCGACAACTTCAGATGCAGGGGTGCATCAATATTGTGCGTCAGGAGACAGATAATTTCTGCTTGGAAGGCGTTGGACGGCGTTTCGCGATTTCCAGGCAGGAATCGCTAGATGAACAGCAGGGATGACTGTCCGTCAAATAGCTAATGATTTTTTGCCGTTCATGCCATTACTTGCGAATTATTAAGTAGGCGGTTCTGTTACGTGCCGTCTCCTTAACACTATACGTATAAGGGACCCTACAGTAGGTAGGTTCATTGCTACTGACTAACATCCGCATTGTGACGGGCGGATTTGCGGTGGCAACCTGGTGAGTGCGCTTTTCGAATTCTGATCCTTAGGTAGATTTCTTGTTGAGTCCGACTCACATCATCGGAAACTGCTAGGCCGTTGGTTTGGGCGCTTGGCGGGGTAGTGTTTCATCTGCCTTACTCGAAACGCCAGTATTAGGCCTCTGAAGAAGACGACCACGTCGAAACGTTAGGCCGCTAAATAAATATTCCACCTGAAAACCTCGAGAGGCACAGCAGTATTAACGAATCATATGTTGTGTACAATTGTAGCGCTACAGCTGTAGCGCGACGTAGCGCTACAAATCTGAACGCTGCCTTAAGTAGCAGTATAGGGATCTCATCCCTGTAAAGACTGCATTATCATCTAGAAAGCTCAATAGGCTTTTCGCACACTTCCTCCCCATGTGGTGAATAGGAACTGAAGCACACAAGGATTGATCAACATTTACACGGAATGTGCCATGTACTTCCTTTCCGAACGCCTCACCCATCCTGCAAGCTACGTCGCTGCTATGTCGAGTACTGACCTTTGTATCATGATATCTCCGCCATTACCCGGACATTTACATAGATGACCTGTTATGGAGGAAACAACGACAAAAAATTTTGACTTAATTTTTATTTAAACGGAGTTGTGAGTCTCGTACACGTAATCCTATCTCTGCATTTCTTTCAAATAGTAAAACAATAAACAATATCTGCTAAAAATCATTTACGCCGCGATAAAAAGAGGTCTCTGAATGGAGTTCTCGAGTCCGTCGGTAACCGACTGATGCCGAGGAGTTTCTTTACAGTGGGATGACGTAGAAGTTGGGCTTGTACCAGGCCAGTAACAGACACAGTCAACCAATACAACGGTATACACTGGAACAAGATGCAATATGAAACACTCGTAGATAATGAAGAGAGATGTTAAAACAAAGACCCGTTTTCCCTCGCGAATAGAGAACTGTGCTTACCGCTGGCAATTGCGACATGATGGTTACCGCAAAAAGCGTGAAGAAGCCAAGGCAAAAATCATACGACCGCGTTTTCCAGCTGCTCATTGCAATTGGGTATATCTTACGTTGAGACTGAAATTGAAAAACAGTACACATCAAGTTACTTTAGAATCAGTTGATCAATGCAATTTTGTTCTCGCAGGACAAAAACTCACGTAAAGGTTCAGAAATCCGAAAACCCCAACTGCAACGGGTAAAATAAAGTAGGGATCAGGAACAAGCATATCTGGAATCCAAAGCCCACCGGCGATGCTTGGATGAAAATCGGCTGAAAGGGGAAGTAGAAATCTTTAGAAAAAGGGAAATATAAAGCTATATAAAAAACTTACAGGTGATAACATTTCTGACAGCAAATGAAGAGAATATCCATAGAGGAATGGTGCACATCTTGAGGTTTTGAATGCGAGTAGCCTGGAGTCCGTGTTCACCCAAATATTGGGGAACTGTCCGAGCCAGCTGGAAAACTCAAAAATACGATGTCTAAACGTAATGTGGTTAGATACGTACCGCTCAAACATTCTAGTATTCCGCCCCTGCTGATAGTGAGACATGTGCGGTAAAGGAGTCTCACCGCCCACCGAACGTTCAAAAGAAAAGTGATAATTCAGAAGTATATTGCAAAAGTGTGTCTCTCTTAAAGACAGCTAACGCGATAAAAGTGTCATGGATAGTTTCTTTTCAATTATGAAACTGTAGCTGACAAGTAATCCCCCCAATGAAGAATACAAGCTGGAAGTCCTCAACAACAGCTAAACACTCACACCTCCCAGCGGTCCCTGCAACCCCTAGCGCACAGATCTCTCTATCACATCTCGCAGTAGTTGATAACATCCAGTGCAAAAAAAGAATATAAGTAAACCAACAAAAACGCAGAAGGAAAATTCTTGGAAGGAAAAAGAAATTTTAAAGTCCCAATTTGGGGTTACGGTAACGCACATTTTAGTGTAGTGAAGTGCGTCGAGGTTTTGCACCAAGAAAATTACAAAATTACGTCACTCGTGATTTTTAAACTTTTCACCTTGCGAAATGGGTTGAGTTGAATGTAATAATGAATGAATAAAATGTAATAAAGGAGTGCAGAATCATTCATGACCACGACGCGGTCAGCGAAAAGGGCATGCGATTCCGATTAATGCCCGCCGCCCCAACAAAGAACAACTGAGCGGCCTTCCGTCAGAGGGCATCTAACAAGTGGGGCGGTCCAACTGAGCGGGCGTCAGAACTAGAAATTTCAGCGGTTGTAGCTCGCTAATCGCTCGCTGCGGAGTTGCGAGAGTGGGGATATCTCTACTTTGTGGCTGTACTACTTGCACAAGGAAGGACGACCATGTACTACTTGAGCGCGGGGGATGTCTTTAAGAGCGTGATCACATTTCAAGTGCACCCTCTTCTATGCTAACGTCGTTTTCTATCTCCGCCCACCAGGTGATCCCAAATCATGTCTTCAAGGGCAAGCTAGGTGAATAAGTGAAGGCCAGTCAACAGGTGCTCTAGAACAGCCTCTAGGATGGTAAGTATGAGCGCGTTCATATTTGCGAGCGTTTCTAGCGACTAGGAAAATCAGCTCTGAGAGTCTTATAAAGAACGAACAAACCGTGGGCAACTTGGATCAGAGCAATGCGGAGAAGAAACGAACAAGGCGATACTGTTGATTAAACGACTAACCCTTTTCGCGATGGCATCGGGTTCGTCTGCGCGGTTCGCTAGTTCTTCTTATCGATAATTGAAACCTTGTCAAGAACGCGGTTCTTTCGCCGATCGATCCGAATGTTAGAAATTGTCAGCAATGCTGTACCACTTTTTCTGTAGACCAGGATGGCAAGAAACTTAGATCACGCACTTAGTTCGCTACCCGTGCGACTGAGCCGCGTGAATGGGAGTCCCCCTCCTTCGTGAAAGTTGAAAACAGTCTGAGTGCCACGATTTATGTATCCGCGGATGCGACTGCACGCGCACCGTTATTGACCTGCTGGAACCATCAAAAGAAATCGTCTATTGAACGATGACAAATGGGCAGCTGCAAAGCTCTTACCGCTAGCGGGGTCAGCCACAGTCGCGCATTAAAGTCACCAAGCTGCGAGAACAGAGCCTTAGAAAAGAAAGATCAGGTTACCCATCTCACTCCCAAGTACCGTCTTCATCCCCACATTCATGCCTCCTTATATTAACACGTCCGCGGTGGCGTGTACTCCCGGGAATACACGCGAATATTCGCTGTTTTTTGTATTTTCTTTTCATTTTCCACTAACAGCTGGATATAAATAACAATCAAACAATAGAGAAATAATATCTACTCATTAGAAGAGGTGTGTGTACCTGAAATACTCAAAAACCTTCCTCTTTAGGCGAATCGTGCATTCATGGGAGTACATGCACCTCTTCTCTCGTTTTTTGATGTTTTTTTTTCTTTTCACTGGCAATTATGAACGAATCATAAAATAAGTAATATACAAGTAATACTAAGAAAATTTCTCGTGTATTCTTTTGAAAATCAGGTTAGGCAGTAGTGGTTTTCACAAGAGGAACTACGAACTTTCACAAGAATCAAAGTCTACATCTTCTTTGTGCGGTACCAGCGAACATCAAAAAGGGCAAGAAAGCTAGTTCATTTACCGAAACTTAGATAAAACTTGTAGAAGGGAAAAATGTAGAAAGAATGGCGAAAAACGGCTTTCGTGAATTTTTAGGCGTTTATGATTCCGTCGCTACCACTCAACCATGAACGGGATGGCTGCCTAAGTGTCGCCCGCCGCGAACGCATCGCTCGACAAACGGGAGTTTTTGGCGAAACGCCGCCGCCGCCAACGTGTTAAGAAAGAGCAGAAGTCAACCCCGATCGAGAAAAGAGGCGACGGGTGGCACACCACACAACAAAGTAAAGGAAACTCACAGTCAGCAGAATTTTCAAAAAAGAAAGGAAAATGTTGGCTCACCAATTTCTCACAATGGGAGATGATTTTAGCATCTTTTGTTTTCAGTTCCAGCTTCGATTTCGCAGGATTAGGAACTACTTCAACTTTGTAGTGTTCGCCCAGCTTCTGAAATGAGCGGATAAATTGCCGACAAAGTGTAAGAAAAGTTTCAGCGTGATAAATGGAGTAGATCTACCTTCAGAATCCCTTCGGTGAAAAAGTTCTGAGCATGTAGCCTTCGTGCAAACAGCTTTTCAGCAAAAATGTGCAAAGGAGACGATGCTATCCTTAAGGCTACACCAGATGCTACAAAGACAACCGGCCATGAGAGACCAACACCATGTAACGCTGAAAGGAACTACAATGAACGAGGTTATTCTGCAGTGCGAATGCCCATGGGAGTGTTCAAACTTCGCGATGGCACGCATCATCGCGCAGTCTGAGCGCTGCCATGAACGAAACCTCTTGCTACTAACCCTCCATAGAACTTTGTAACCCTTGCGTAAAGTAACATTCAGAAGCATATTGGAAAAGTGGAGCAATAACTGACGGAATAGTACTGGATTCACGTCGAGAGATCACCTGAAATTTTGACAGCTTCCCAAACGTGGCGTTGCTAAAATGAAAAAAAAACAAGACTTTCCTGCAGTACACAATCAATATGCAAATCTTAATCAAAATGTCCAATTCTCCAAATTCAAACTTTTTGGGCAAAAGTAGCGCATGACAAAAGTACAACTTCGGCTTTTAAACAAGTTCTTCATACTGTCGCACACACAATTCTCATGCTACTGCTGCCCCTGCAGTAACCAGAAAGCAGAAAAGTAAAGATAAAACTGTTGTTTTTATTATTCTGGTTGCATTCAAAGCGTGATCAGCGAAGGTAATATTGCGTTGGCAGCCATCATGCACTTTCCCTCAGCCTTCATTCCTTAACTCTTCACATCAGAATGTTCACCCTGTAGTTGAGGAGAAGCGTCACTGCGGTGTTTCCTATTGAGATAATAAATGATCTACACTACCGGATGCAAGATAGTAGAGTTTCTCCCACATCGAGCGATATCACGACGGCTAAATATCCCAGGGATGTTGAAGCTTTGGGAAACTTTCGGCGTTAATTTGATATTGGGCTCACACTTTTTCCATCATACAGTGCGCTTACATACAATGAGTACAGCCGCGTTTACTCTTCACGACTGCAGAAAAGGAGAATCGTGGACTGGAGAGTTAAAAATGTGCCCATAAGAAGGTATCGGTATTGATCGGTCGACATAGAAGGATAGACCTTTAAACGTTTTGGAGGGATGCGCGCCAAAGCAATGGATTTGTGTTAATCGATTTCGGTGTGGAGACTTAATGTTTTGAAGGAACACGCGTCCAATTTTTAGTCACCCAATTCATCCACTCTTTCGACACGTATACTCCACCGGTGATTCCGCTATTATCCCTTCGTGAAGTGCGAGAGCACTGCCTTACAGATCGCTTACCGCGGTGAAATGCAGCTGCTAGTAGAGGTACAATAGAGTGGTATGCGGTAAGAGAACCGTAAGTCGCCGCGCCAGTGGGCATCGCACCCGCTAGTAACGACGATCTTAGGTGGTATTGGTCGGGAACAGACAATGTATGACCATGAGTGTCTACCATTTCCTTTTACATGAAATCCGATGCTCAAATTGAAGAGGTAGTGCGTGAGGGAACGTCGCGCCCGCTGCCGCGCGCGACAAAGTGGCAATTTACGATTCACTTGCTCTTCTCCCAAAAGAAAGAATGCTGAGTGGAACCTTCGTAATTCGATAGAAAACTGTATGGTATCTCTTAGCACTCACTTCATGAGGACGGCGTCGGGTTTTGAGAGCAGCAGATGTCGAACAACATGGCAACACCTTGCTCAGTGCGACCCTGCTCCCACAAGAAAGCATGTTTACCTTTTAATCGGGAGCGATATACAAGCCTGAGAGGACAGGATTATTTATGAAACGTCAGAGATACGGAATGTCTGAACATCTTACTTATATGTGAGGAATTGAGACGGCTTTAATTTAAAAAAAAACATCAAACTGAAGAAACACCAAAAACAAACAAGTCAGTCAGATGACAATCACAGTCAAGAACAAATGTGTACAGTATTCATAGATTTTACAAGAGAAGCGAATAAATAGTCGTGTAAAAAACCGCATACTTCGAGGAACCATGGATACAAAAACGGGCACAGAAAAGTTGAGCTTGTTCAACTCACTCGGTGATAATTACACTACAAAGGCAAAAACTATGGAGCAGAGGCAGAAGTTGGTGATATGGATTTAGTGTTAACTGCCTAACCTTTGACCTGAACCAGAAAATGGTCCTTTATTTCTGTTAGGCTGGCGCGCATCGCCTTGAGCGTGATACTGACTGCTACTCGCCTCTCCACCAGTTTGGCGAACAGAGGGAGAGGTACTGTCCCCACTCGATTGAGAAATTACTATGGCTGCAACAACAATAGCGAGCATCATTGGCCCAGACAGAACAAAACCGAGGATGGCCACGACGAGATGGAGCGGATCAACACGATATCCAGCTACGGAGAAGGAATTGAGACCGTACTGACGAAGACGGTCGTTGGCCGAGTTCCAAACCGACGCGAAACCTCCCGTTGTCTCGCTCTGAAATACGAGAATCAAGTCGGTCAAGAAAGTATTCATTGGTTCGCTGCGAGTGAAGGGGAATGCCATGCAAGCTCAACCCGTTCTCTGCCAGTTCTTGAAGCAGGTATGCGACAACAACTCGTAGAAAACGAGTGATACGATTAATATGATACAGTGTCACTTGTTGGCATTAACAAGTAATGGAGAACGGGTTTGGCACCGGGCCAAGCTCATCCCGCATGCACACCCCTTCGTCCGCAGAGAACAAGACTATAGCAAATAATTTTTCAAACAATAAACCGTGCCCCATGGGTAGGTATAAATGGTCAGAAGATAGAGCTGACCATTGCAGCTCAAACCTTAAAAAGAAAAGACAAAGGCAAATAAAACAATAGTAATAACGTAGTTTAGCGGCACAGCATGGCGATTCTGGCATCGACATCTGGCGCAAAGGGTCTCCATGCGAAGGTATCAATTCCTTTTTTGTAAAAAGTTTGTTCTAAATGCCTAACGTGCCACACCTAGGTACTCAGGGTGCTGGAATGAATTGCTATAACGTAAAAACGGTTCTCCCGAACAATTCCTTAAAGACAGCGCCCGCGATGGACTTTGGCAGGTTTCAGAGTCACCTTTGCTGCTAGAACAGGTGCCTATGAAGCGCTAAATAAAAAAGCAGGAAAAGGTGTGGAAGAGCCGTGAAATAAGACCCTATGAAATTTAAGGCATGTGGACGAGTTTCGCAAACTTTCTGGTGAGTTCTCCAATACACGTCGCGCCGCCTCGGAACTCTGAAAATTCAGCGTATATCAATGCCAGCAAGCATTGAACTGTCAACCAGTCGGGCGGGATTAACAGGACAGGAAGCGTCAGCCCGGCTCTGTTGACTCCGTCCTCGTCAACCAATCGATTTCGAGCCGCAAGAGTGGGACTTCTGCTGTGATTGCGAACTCCGCGTTCGTTTTTCATGGAGGGTTTTTTCACTCTGGTTGATCGCGGGACGCCGCCTTTAGAAAACTGATAGTAATTTTTTACTACCCTCCTTCAGGGCTAGCCTAATGCTGATCTTTCTCCTTTACAAACATAACTGAGTCAGCAAACAGCAGAAGCATTTCCAGCGTTCGCCCGTCCCGATACACTAGGCCAAGGCGTATACACCATATTTCGTTGGAAGGTAAAGTAAATAACTTTACACCTTTCTTCACCTTTTTTTTAGAGATCCGAGTTATGCATGCTGTGCTTCACAAATCGCTAGAACTATCTACAGCAAACTTGTTTCAAACAAGGAGGCACTCCACGTTGAAAATATTGGGAGATGGTGCTGCTGCCACATGAACTAGCTTGCACGGCATCCTTCGCCACCCATCGCGCCCACTTGGATTCTACTCAACAACAACCGCAAACAACCCGGTATAGCACTCTTCGCACCTGCACTTTCGGTGCACTAACAAGGGAGGTCGTTCGCAGGGGTGCCCCGCTTTTTCGAAACGGTTTATTGCACTTTGTAGCGTCCCTTCCCCATGAACCATAAAGTGGGCTTCGTTTTTGCTGTGTGGTCTCCAGAACGGCCAAAAAAGGAGCGAAGGTCCGTCTATGTACCCCCATATGAGGGACGTTAAGCGCTTTACTGGCCGCCAAAATTGCGTCGACGTCGAAAATAAGTGCAAAATCGTAACAGGACCATCGGCTACCCTTATGGACGAACTTCTACCCAAAAAAAAGTTTTTTCGAATTTTTGGTTTTGGGGGACCATTTGGTCGGCAGTGGTGACCGGAGTATCCCATCTTCGTAAAGAAGATGATGGAAACGACGACGTAGCGCCAGACAGGACAGCAAACCTGGTGAATGCCTCCCTTCCTTCCTCTTTGCAGAATTTCATCGGCATTGTTACTTTTATCTTGCATATTAATAAAATTAGGGGTCCTTGGCCGCGAGCACTGTAGACTTCTATGGAAAAGACTGTCGGGCACAACCCAACGCACACACCCAAAAAAGTCGAAAAAATTTTTTTGGCTGAAAGATTGTTTACTGGGGTAATCGATGGCCCCCGATCATGATTTTTCCACACTTAATTTCGCGCCGACGTAACTTGGCCTGGGTTGCTTTACACATCCCTTATTTGTGTGTAGCAAACGAATTCATGGGTGTAAGCTGTCACTCCATATTAGCGATAAATGCACCATGGCTACAATAGCGTTCCATATTCGTGATTCGGGCATTGGTCTGACCTTACAAAGGTCACCTTTCAATTACGTCTGTGCTTAATGGTATGTAAAACCTGTAATAATTGTAATAGCACTGATTCATGGAGTTTCCTATTTAAAATGTACCCATAAATGGCAGTTATCGAATGCATACTTACGCACAAGACATCTGAACGCGAAAACAGCAAAACATTAAAAATGCAAAAACTCGCACGCCGAGGGAGTCGCACCATCAAACCCACCCCAACTGCCCGCTTGAGATTCCTTCACGCTATCCACCTAGGCCATCCGATCGGTGTTGGCAGAACATTCTCCGATCGTTGAAGAAACCATTCATGAGCCGTTCTTCTCTTGATCACGTGCCACAAATAAGACCCCTTACCCCGACTACTTTTCTCTTCGATTCCGATAGTACCTTCTATAGGTCCCTCCTTCAGCAACTGGTCAAAGTTCTCAAGGGTTTACAGCTCGTAGAGGCTCAAAAACTCCGTTTCCATTGGTTTATTTTTCGCTCCTTTTTTTGGCGTTCTTGGAGCCGCACACAGCAAGAACGAAGCCCACTTTTATGTTCATGGAGCAAGGCCTACAGAGTGCAACAAACTGATGAAGACAACTGAATGAACAGCCGCATGTTTTGGATAACTAACAAGAAAATGGTCGAATGCTGATTGCGAATATGCAGACTAGAAGTTCTACGACAATCGCCCAAACGAGTTCTGGGCTGTGACTGCAATGATGGTATGTGAGCACTAACTTCCGATGCCAATGCCAGCGTGGCGTGGTAGTTAACTCGCTTCACAGGTGCAAACAGGCATTTTTCTCCCGTTGGCAGAAAATCCTTTGCTCCGTTTGCAGGCCCGACCTAGCAGAGCGAATTGGTCAAGGACATGACGTGGAAGATCAAAAATAGCACTGGTCACTATTTACCCCTTGCGACACCCACTGTCTATCTGGCAATTCGAACTTGGAGCCAGAATCTCAGTTTGGCCAAAAAACTTGTTCAATTTGCTCCTTCCGCCCCCCCGCCCCCAGTTTTCTGATCAGAAGTGCTGATGACAAGAATGTGCCTGGTGCCGAAGTCTCCATGGCGAGCATTTTCGAGCTTAATGAGCGCAAAATTCTCACTGTGAAAGAAATTGTTGTCTTGTGGTTGCTTGGCGCCTATCAATTGTAGAGCAGGTACAGGGATTTTCTCGGCAAATACGTGTAATATTCCTATTTAGGTGGTCCGACTACCCCCAGGAACAAGCTTTGGCCAAATTGAGATGCTTGCCAATTTGAGTTGTCCGGTAGTGAGTGTTACAAGAAGTAGATGGTAATCAGTTCTATATTCAATCGGCCAAATCATGTGTTTGACCTTCTAGCTCTGCTGGTTCTATAATTCCGAAAATTGTCAAAAAATGGAATGAAAGCTGGGAAAGCTAGAAAGCAAAAGCCTGTCTATAGGTCAACAGGTAGCAAAGCAAGCCCGTATGCTTTCGCTCTCATGAAGCGGAACTGTTACCATTAGGTCACACTGGCACCAACAGCTGGCGAGGGCTCACCTGCCAGCATTGTATTTACAGCAAATCTGATCCCCCGAATCCGTTTTAGGGGTTTCCAGTAGCACTTTTAATCTGCATATTCAAAAACAGCATTCACGAGCACCTAGGTCTCCTTTGGTGTACCACCGGAAGTGAAATTATTAGCTTGTAAGATACCAACACGATCAAAGAAAACGTAGTGCTTAATTTAAGGATGAACTAAAGTCTGGGAAATGCAAAAAAAAAACACTCGAAGGTACCTCAGTTTGCCGGGAATGTTGATTTGCTTGGCCACCTGTACGTCGCTGGTTGTTCCGGACATCATCATCATTCACTACCTCTCCATTGCTCAGTACTCTAACCATCTGAAAATCTACAATATCATCAAAGTTACGGTCAATTTGCTGCGCGTAATGGGGAGTGTCAGCGCGGCTGCGGTTGGCGCGGCCTCACCGCGTTTTTTTTCATCATACAACAGACCGCTGGCGCCGCGATAAACGTAGCCACGTGACACGCCCCGTCATCCACAGCGAATCAGACTGTAGTATTAGGTTGTCCGGAAAGTTCTCAGCGTTTTGGGTGTTTCACTTTAAACGATCGTAACTTTTTTAATACTCATCGAATTTAATCGAAATAGGCACCATTCTAATCAGCACACTTTTGCCAATGTAACAGCAGTCGATAAGTCCCATCGAAGTAAAAAACTGGGTGGTCGAATATTCACGAAATCCACTAAGGCTTTTTCGCCTGGTCCTGATTGATGAAGTATTTTTTGGCAAGGGAGTTCTGAAAATGTTAGAAAAGGTGATGGTCGGTTGGCGAAAGGTCTGAAGAATATGGCAGTTGAGGTAGAACTTCAACCCCCAATTCGTTCAATTTATGGATAGTGATTTGTGAAATGTGTGGGCGGGCGTTGTCATGCAAAGGAATCGGACCCTTTCTTTTGATAAGTGTTGGCTGCATCTGACAAAATTTCCGGTACAACTCGTCGATTTCTTCACAGTAGGGTTCTGCTGTGATGGTTTGGCCTGGTGATAAAAAGTTATAGTGGATCACTTCAGCCGGTTACCACCAAGCCGTGACCAGAATCTTTTTTTCGTGAGGGTTCGGCTTTGAAAATTACCTCGGTGGCTCGTCGAAATCCAACCACTGTCCGGAACGTCTCCTGTTATCATACATGACCCATTTTTCATCACAGGTGACAATTTGGTCCAAAAACAGGTCGTTTCTCCTGCGCAAAAGCAATGCAGAAGGAACCTCAGACGTGCCGATTCCTGCCGGTCACTCCGATTGTGGGGCACCCAAGTGTCGAGTTTTTTTTCACCTTCCCAATGCGTTCCAGACCTTCTGCAACAGTGGATTTGCCAAGGCCTAGCTCTTCTGCTATCTCTCGAACTGTTCGGGATTGGTCAGCCTCAAAAATCTCCTCAAAATCCTGCGTCAGATATGCTTAGTCGACCGCTATGAGCGTTCACCTTCAATTGCGAAGATCCCCAAACGAAATTTGTTGACCATTGCCGCCACAGGCTTTCATCTAGCACTATTGGCCCCACACCTGGTTAATTTGTTGAGCTGTTCGATTGAATTTGCCCCAATTTTATAGTCGAAGAAAAAACATCGTCCGAAGTGCTCTTTTCACATGCTTGGGAAAATCTCGAAAAAAGGGTCTTATAAGCAACAGTGAAACGAGATTATACCATCAGATAGCGCAAAATTCTCTACAGGATGTGCTACTGAGAAGCAAGGCAGAATGAGTTTTTAATCACAGTGAAGTGTACAAAAAATAGTCACAAAACGCGAGCAACTTATCGCGACAACTCTAAATAATAAGTGCTGCCAATAAGCTGAAATCGAGACTGAATTGCATGATGCGCATGATTAGTCCAGCCGAAAACGCATTCTCTGAACAATAATTTCGGAAGAATGCCTTCGCGGATAACTTGTTATCCTGCTTCTTACTGCTGAACTACTAATCTCAAAAACTTAGCCCCACTGCTTTTCTGATCACATTCAATTACAGAAGCAACACTAATAAGGCGCTAATACCTTAGCGTACGTTTTGAGCCATCTTTCTCGCGTTTGAGCGCCTCGAGCGTTTTCAGCGACTAGAACGTACCATATAGCACCTTAGCATTTCCAGCGCACGACCAGCAGCTTTTTGAGCAAAATAAGGAGTCGCTAACGACTGCTATCTACCGGCGCCCGTTGCTAATCATTTGGCCGCAGCAACATAACTAACAAATTTATCGATAACTGCTTCAACCATAACATTTCGGCCTAAATCACCACGACGACAACCCATTAAGCTGCCACAAAAAACAAAACAAAGAAAACGAAAAAAGTAAGAAGGAGACCACACAACCGCATAACACGTACAATGGTCAACAGGGCAAGTCGCTGCAAGATTGTATGGTAGAAGCCAGATGAAAGGCCAGTATTTATCAGACCAGCTATTTTGTGGATGAGGCTGCATCCCTAATAAAGCCGTACGACACGCTCAAAGAAGAACAGAAGTGATTTCGTCTGCCTTCTTAGCTGGCTAGTATAAGTCCTCTCCACTAGGCACTACCAGGCACTACCTCACGCTCCTACTGTGACATATCCAATATTCTGACTGTGGGCCCCGCAATCCGCAATGAGAGCATTTCCATTATTGTCCTCTATCCCTGATATAGTTAGTGAAAACCTAAGTACAACAAATACAACAACGTTGGAACGCAGCCATGCCAAGGAATCAGTGATTCTTACCATGTACAAACATTTAATGACTATCGAAATGACTGACAGGTACTGGACTAGATTCGGAAAGAGCTTCACAGCTTATGCAAAGAAGCTTCAATTAAGCTGAAGCTTTGAGAACAAATTACGTAGATTTCCTGTGAGAGTAAAGTACTTCACTAGAAATCTCAGGGTTTGCGCTCTGGGACCACCATCCATTCGTCCGAATTTTCTCGGCTGCTGTCTGCTGCTGCTACACCAGCTTTTCTCTATTTCACTTTTTCTATGCTTGTTTCTTGTTGCAGTTAGCTATTAAATGCAGTTATTAAATACTAGGAGTTTCTCCTCTTCAGAGTTGTGTGAGACTAACTTGGGTTTCCTGCGAAAATGGCTATGAACATTCCAAAATCGGGCTACAACCGCTTCATGAAGGAGGGGGCTCAGGTTCGTTATGGAGGAGTTTTCCCTCTTCCGATTTTATTGAGTTCTCATTCTTTCAGCATTTCAAAGGTACGGACGAGGCAGTGCTAAGAAACATTGATGCCTGTGTGGAGTTAGCGTCTCAATTAAGGTCGGCTTATGGACCTAATGGTAGGCTAAAAGTTTTCTTCCAGTTTAACTACTGCTACTGTCCATTAGAGACTGTTTGGTGGTATGTCAAGAGATGGGCATTTCAGGAATGAACAAAATGGTTATTAATCACATCGAAAAGTTATTCGTGACAAACGATGCTGCTACAATCCTGAAAGAGCTCGATATCCAACATCCGGCGGCTAAGATTATAATAATGGCGAGTCAAATGCAGGAGAAGCAAGTTAGTTTTTCCCAGTAGATGTATCTATTTCCATTCAAACTATATGAAGAGAGAACTTCTAGATATCAGGAACTTATGATAATTATTATAATGTATCAAAAAAAACTATGCTAGGGTGGCTGGATGGGTGATTGCCAGTATGGTGTTAAGATTGACCCTTTCAGTGCGGTAAGAATGGGGTGGTTGAGTGGTATTGATTATCGTTCTAAGAGAGAGAATAAGGCGTGGAAAGAGCACCGTCCCCTACGCTTGCTAAAAGAATGCTGCGCAGTAAGGCCGCATTCACACCGCCAACTAAGAAGAAATGACGAAACTGCGGATATAACAATGTAATATCGATTTCAAGAAAGCGGAATCGGAAATGCAGAAATGCTGAATCTGCAGAAATTCCGAAATAACGAACAGCGACCTGAAAGGGATCGATCGCTTAGTCCCAGCAGCGGTAGAAATGCCAAGATGCAGATGGAATTTCTGAAGATTCCGCGTTTCTGCACTCCTCCCAATTCCGCAGGTCTATAAATTCCGCTCAGCACATTCCGCGGTTCCGCATTTCTGCATCATGTATGAACGCAGCCTAAAGTATAAAGCTTGTTCCGCCTCCTCGAGGGCTGCTCAAAAAGAGGAGCTCGATAGTTACAGTGATGAAGCGGGAGGGGGGTGTTGTTGACGAGATGGGGTTTCATAGCCAGTTAATCCTTGCATCTTTGTGGTACGGATGTTCATCACGCACAGCCGCTTACAGCCTCACATTGGTAATTTAGCACAATTTTTTGTCGAAATTTGTTGTATTGGATACACATGGCTAGAATTTTGTCTGCAGCGGTAGCTTGATCTCATCGCGAGTATCGTATTTACTTGAAAACGTGTGGTGCCCGCAGCACAGACGGCGCACGCCGTAATATACTTAAAGGCAGCGTTCGCGATCAACCATCGTGAAAAAACTCTGCATTGAAAACGAACGCGGAGTCCGCAACCGCAGCGAAGATCCGACTCTCGCGGCTCGAAATCGATTGGTTGACGAGGGCGGAGTCAACAACGCTGAGCTGACGCCTCCTTTCCTGTTAATCCCGCCCCGATTGGTTAACAGTTGTCAGTGCTTGCTGGCATTGATATACGCTGAATATCTAGAGTCCGAGGCGGCGACGTGTATTGGAGAACACACCAGAAGTTTGCGAAACTCGTTCACATGCCTTAAATGTCATAGGGTCTTATTTCACGCTCTTCCACACCTTTTTCCTGCTTCTTTTTTGATTAGTGCTTCGGCCACCTGTTCTAGCAAATGTGACCCCTGGAACCTGCCAAAGTCCATCGCGGGCGCTGTCTTTAAGCCAGCAAAGTCCGTGAAAGACTGGCATCTGAACACCCATTTAACCCACTACGCCCAATGTCTTATATGTCTCATTTAACTGTAACGTAACAACGAGTGGCGTGGACTGGTAAGTTCGTTTCGCATTCGCGTTTTGCCAGTAGTTCTCCTGATAGCCCGTCAAAAACACTAAGGATTCGAGGCGTTCTGTGGTACAGAGGGCAACATTTGAGCCGTGAGCCATACTGACCTTTAAGGACGACGATCCAGTGGGAACGTCAGGCTAGAATCAATAGAGAGTCTTCCCTTACAAACCTCATCGGCACATGAAGCAAAAACATCAAAGATTCGCTATGAGTTTTGAAGTTTTCTTTCTCCAAACATCAGATTACCATGCTTTTGGGAAGCAAATGCTCTGTGCTTACCTACTTCGCTGATTTCAATTCAAGAAATTCGTTGAAGGTAGTTGTCCTGGATTGGGAAAGACGTTTGATCTCGGGATAACTGTGGACGATATGGACTGTTACAAGAAAACTCTAAAATTCAGAAGCTGTTGTAGTCTGCATAGACAAAATGCTGGCCATTTGCTAGTATTCAAGCGGATAGCTTCGAGCCTATTACAGCATCATGGTCTATTCTATACATGGTGGTCGAAAGTTCTCTCAGAATGTGGCATTTCAGGTAGGAGACAACACAAACACTGTGGTGATTTTGGCCGCTGCTCTTCTCGAACATGGTGCTCAGCTCATCAGCATGGTACCTTTTCCTTAATTATTTGTCGATGCTCGTTTTCCCTGTATGTGGTTTCACGAGAAATGACCTAAAAGTCCAATATATAAGAAAAAATATGCAAGTTCGCGTTTTCCTACAGTTTCTCTATGATTAGCTGAAGCATATATTCTTTGTGATGGATATAATGAAACTCTTTCGAATTCCATTGACAACGTTCTGGGCCGTAAGCCCTTCGGTCGGATACTTATGGAAGGGAGGGTCTGGAAAATTCGTCTGGAAACTTTTTCCAGACAGAAGGACAGCTGGGGAGCAAACTTCCGCACCCACTCCTACTCCAGACCCTCCCTTCCATAAGTAGCCGACTTAAGAAAGGCTTACGGCCCGGAACGTTGTCAATGGAATAAAAGACTAAAGAGTTTCATTATATCCATCACAAAGAAGACTTATGAAACAATAAAGCCCAGGAACCCTTTGATATTGCATGAAGCATATACTGTGCTAGTCCCTAGAGAAGTTTGTCAAATACGAAATCATGCTGTGTCGTCCTTTTTTTTCTTCTCATCAAAGGCTGAGCGCGCCGAGGGGAAACCGTCCCCGAACTCCCAGCGTGGTCCACCTTACCTTGATGTCTTGAGTTTTGTTTGGTTTTACCTGCACCCCCACTGATCGCTATCAACAAAAGTCTATTCTCGACCAATCAAAACCTTTGAAACCATGATCAAAAAAGTCAGTTTTTTATGGTGAGTTCTGATTTTGAAATCACTTCTGTAGGGTCTCACGCCACAAGAAGTTGCTGCTGGATACGAACAGGCAGCCGAAAAAGCCCTCGAAATTCTTCCAAATCTTGTCATCAAAGAAGCAACAGATTTGAGAGATATTCCAACGGTGTGTTTTTGTTATTTATTTGAAGTTCATAATTCAATAGTACAACATTTAAACATTGAGTTTTGAAGTCAGAGAAAAAGAGAATGGAATTATCAGCCCCATATTTACAGGTGAAGAAACTTCTTCGCTCAGCAATAACCTCAAAGCAGTACGATAATGAAGAAGCTATCGCTGATTTAGTGTCGAAGGCTTGTGGTAAGCATTTTCGCGGACCATTTAAACAACCTCTTAACACATTTTTTTAAACGTTTCACAACGCAGCAAGCGTTAATTCCATCAAGATTCATAAGTTCATTTCCACTTACATGTTTTTAAGAGTTTCAACCAGAAAATTTCTGCACAGCTTGGCTTGGTGGGGGCACTGACAGGTGCTCAGCTATTCTTGTACCGGTAGCTCTGTAGAGACCTGTAAATTCCTGCCAACAAAAAGGCGCATTCGACCCCTTTTTACAGTTTAATAAGGGTTTACAGGTTTCACTGAGGCCTTGCTACTTACCGAACTCACAAAAGCAACCAGCGAAAGTGCAAAGCGGCCCATCCAAGCAGAACAATACGAGAATTTTTTTTGCATCTTCTCTGTGTTCTTCTGACCAGACCAGTCCCTTCTTCTCCTTTTTTCAGTCCTCACTGTGCCAAAAAACAGCTTCAACTTCAATGTTGACAACATAAGGATATGCAAAATTTTGGGATCTGGTGTTAGCACTTCAATGGTGAGTGGTTCTCTAAATCTCGACTTCGCTATTATTTTTTTATATTCCATGGTATCATCCTCTTTCTTCTGTTTTGCGCCTAGCAGTCGTGCCTGGTTTATAAATTATGACAAAAAGCTTTCGAGACTCGTTTTCTTTGAGGTTATGAACGGGATGGTTTTCAAGCGCGGAGCCGAGGGTGAAGTCAAGAGCGTAAAAAATGCCCGTATCGCCGTTTTCACATGTCCGTTTGACCTAACACAGACAGAAACCAAGGTTTTCCACTTTTATGATTGACCGCTTTTCTCCATTTTTCCAGCCTCTAAAATCTTTTCAGGGTACGGTTCTCATAGAGAATGCAGAAGAACTCATGGGTTTTGCAAAGGGTGAAGAAAGCGAAGTTGAAAGTCAAGTGAAGGCCCTTGCTGATAACGGAGTTCAGGTACTTGTGTGTTATGTCACATTTATGTTTGTCACCAACAGTTTCCTTCTTTCTCTAGGTTGTTGTAGCTGCTGGAAAGTTCGGTGATCTGTATCTGCACTTCCTCAACAAATACAAAATAATGGGAGTCAGGTCAGTTGAAGTCAACTTCAAAGTGATTCATTCTTTCATTTTGCTGCGAGAATTGAGTTGAGCTGACTGTCCTCTTTCTAACACCATGCTTTTCTAGGCTGACGTCGAAGTTTGATCTACGGCGTCTATGTCGAACTGTGGGTGCGCAAGCGCAAGCACGAATCGTGAGTGGTCTAGAATTTCTTCCGATTTAAGCTGAAGTTGCCTTTTCTGTTATATTCAATACACTGTAAGCTGTTTCGTTCCAGTGCGCTCCAGCTGTTAATTTGCTTGGAACCTGTGACTCAGTTCACATAAAAGAAATCGGTGATGAAAATGTAGTGGTATTTGACAACAAGGTACGTTAAAAATACTCGACCACTCACATTTATATTGTCTCGAGAGATTGCTTATAGGGAGAAAAAGGACATGTGGCTACAATCATAATTCGCGGCTCAAGCCAGTCTCGGATAGACGATGTTGAGCGAGCAGTAGATGATGCTGTCAACACATACAAATGCCTTACTAAGGATGCCAGAGTATGTATTACTACTCGTATTTTCCTCAACGACCGCTTATCGATTTACATTTATCAACTTTCGTTTTCTATAATCACATTATTGGATTGATAACTTCTAGCTCATGGTAAGTCTGTCAAGCTGAACAGTGGCGGCTTCAGCTGATACAATTTTTCTCTGTTTTGTTGATGTTGCTATGAAAACAACCTGTAAATGTTGCCAAATGCAGTGACTTTTGTGGGTTGACATTTTCGGCTTACTCTGCTTGAGGTAGAGTGAGCTTAGAATTGGGGTTGTGCCGAGTTGGAGGCTTAGGCACAACTTTTAGGTAGATCTACCTGCAGCTCCAATAAGAACTTGTCGGGTTTGAACGTTACTGTTTTCTGTCATTGATTGAAAGCCTACTATTTCACTATATTGTAGGTGCGCTTCATTGCTGTTGTTTTTAGCTCCTTCCTGGTGCTGGCGCAGTGGAGATAGAATTAGCCCGTCAAATAGAATCATTTGGTGAGAAGTGCTCGGGACTTGAGCAGTACGCTATCAAGAAATTTGCGTATGCTCTCGAAACACTGCCGAAATGTCTGGCAGAGAATGCAGGCATTGATGTACGTTTCTTGTGTTTGAAGATATTTTGTACCAAATTTTATTAAGGTTTGCTTTGTTTGTTTTTTATAATGAGATCTATCTGAAGGCTACCGACATTCTCACTAAACTTAATGCCGCCCATGAGTCTGGACAACCAAATGTCGGGATTGACATCTGGAAACATGGTACAGTTCTCCGAAAAAATGTGGCTCAGTACGAATCAGGATTTCAATTCTTTCTTTAGAAGTCATGGACGCCGGAGAGAACACAATCTACGACTTATTCGCTGGCAAGAAATCTGCCATAAAGCTTGCCACTGACGCTGCTGCCACGATTCTCAAAGTTGATCAGGTGATTTGTTGAGTCCTTATTCCCGTGAAAATCGCAGAGTAAACACGTTTGTCCAACTGCGATCTTCTTTTCTGTCGTTGTTGTATTTATTTCGAATTATTTATAGATAATAATTGCAAAACAAGCTACGGGTGGACCCAAACCTCGCGGACCGAAACCACAGGACGAGGACGAAGAAGGAATGGCCTAAATGTTTGTAGGCAGCTGATGCCTGCTTGCTAGCAGTATTTGTTCTCATATTGATGGTTTTAATTCCTATACGAGCACTGAAGCATGAAGAGTTTTGATGGGCGAAGAATTTGAAAAGAAGGAGTGCTGTTCTTTAAACACGATCTGTCTGCCGTTTGCTATTGCATGAGGTCTTTTTACAGTTCTCTGTTAGTACTTGTGGTTAAATTTGCTTGTTCTGTTATGTTCTCAGTCATTTGTTGCCTCAACATAATAAAACCTATAATGAGAAACCTTGACCATTAGCAGAATAGGTGTTATACTCATTCTTACCGGCTGGTGATTTTCTTCCTTCGTATTATGTGACTATTGAGTTCAATAAGGTTTCATAAGTCATCCGCTAGTGCGGTATCCAACTGCTCATGAATCGACAGTGAGCTTGAAGCTTGGGTGGTATAATAGATCAGCGGAGAGCGACAATTCAGTGTAATTTCTCAGGCATAGCGTGCAGCAATGCGCATCGTGCTCACTGTGAACAAGTTTGAGACGGCGAAATTCTCACGAATTCAAGCGCAGGCAAGGTTCCATGACAGGCGATATCAAATTTCCTCAACCTTATAACCCTCGAACTCGAACCGCCAAGAAGGGCAACTGGTCTATCGGGTGCTAGCCAAGCCTACCAGCATGGCATATTCCGATTGTCTTGTCATATGCCCAAGGATCGAATAGCCTTGCATGGTACGACTGCAAAATCAGAACAGCAAAGTTGCTGCATAGAAACCTTTGCCGCCCTTAATAAGGTGTGCTGTGGACATCGTAATTTTCTCTGTTACTATTGAAAGGACAAATTTTGACCAGTCAACCCAGCTTCTGCTTGGGGACACTTCCAACTTCTCAGTGATTCTATAAGATAAATCGGTAGAGAGTGGAGCTCAGCTTTGGAAAATAATATATCGCTAGTGTTTGCGAAGCAAGTTGTGAGCAATAGTTTGCTGGAAAGATAATGTTGTTCAAAGGGCGCGCTCCGTGATAAACTCATAACAGAACCTCCAGAATGCACAAGGTGGCAGGTTCGCCATGGTGGAATGTATTCCACCATCAAGTTTGAAAATACGCAGGAAACGCGCTGCAAACTTGGGATAGGGTCGTCGGAACCCAGTGAAGCTATGACCCTGGCCCGTCCCCACGTGGCAGCGTCGTCGTGGTTCCTTTACCATCCTTTTCTGGTCTCTTCTTCTGCACCTGCAAAGCGCCATTGCTTCTCGGCGTAATGCTGTGATGTTGCTGCTCACGGTAAAGGAAACAATTCTAATAATATTCTCTGTTGTGAGAACATATCCTATAATTTCAAGCATCAGCTTATTTGTGTTCCGCAGATGTGTACAGAAGATGCTGCTGTTGCTGCAGAAGTTTGCGCAATCATGGCGAAGGAAACAGATCATAAATCACAGTACGACGGGTTAGTTTGAAATTTTCGTGTCATTTGCCAAACAGGCGTGAAGGCTGCAATAGTTCCAGAGAAATAATGTCGGCTTGTAATATCACAACACCAGTCACGGGTTTCTCTCTTAGAAACGGCTCTACGCTCTGGGATATTAGAATAATAGAAAGGAAATTAGAGGAGCAAGTGTCGTGAAAAACGTGCATGGATGCTTATGTGTTCGATTTCCCTAATCTTGCGGCTAAATATTTCCAATCTGCTGCTCTTCACTCTCCTTCCACTCTATTATTTACATATCACCTTCGGGAAACTGATCCAGGCCACCGTTGTGTTCAGGGTACAGCATCGTGATGTGTGAAATGGTGGTGGAAGTACGACTTCCTCCCCCCCCCCCTTCTTATTGAAAGAGGTTCTCGGTACGACCCCTTTCCCACTACCTATCTACAATTTTCTACATGTCCCCAGCTGCCTATTGGGTTTTTCGATATTTTTCAAAAATTTGCTACTTTCTGCCTAAAAATTTTTCGTCGAGCAAGGGGGATAAGGGAGGTCGTCAGAAACCAGCTACCATTTTCAACTATCGTCAACTATCGAAACAAAAAGATATAGAATTTGGGCGGCTCCATCAACTAGGCGGGGTGTTAGAGCCAGTGTGAAACGGGAAAAACTGCAAAAAGCCAACAATCGAAAAAAAAATTTGTCCCTATGCGGCAAGTTTATCTCGAGGGCATATACGACTCCCCCTCTCCCAACGACACCAAACACGACCTCTCTCCCCAGAGGTGAAGTACGACCCCCTCCATGTGTTTCGCACAACGATGCTGTACCCTGGTTATGTTACTCTCAAACCCTGCGCTGGACGCTAGTTTTCTCGCTTGTACTTCTAAATCTTATTTCTCTTACACGTGAGATGCATTTCAATCACGTAAGGCTCGAGGTAAATATAGCACAGTCGCGATGATTTCAGCCTCCTAGTTGTGATGGAGAGGATTTTCCCTGCTCGAGTTAGCAGTGAATTGGACGTCATTCCACTTGTAACACTTATGAAGACAGGTTCGTCAGTTATTTCTTTGTCTGGGTGACATTTGCACTTCGAGTAGTTGAAGATCGTTTTTCAGAAATCGGAGCTTTGCTCCTCAGATATGCTCTAGTAGCTCTTGTTTGTGGAAGCTAGTATCTTTGCCATCCGGTGCGGAATTAAAATTCCACTTGATTTGGAAAAGCAAAAAAGCTACGAGCAGAGTTATATCCTAATTTGGCACTATTCAACTATTACTTCCCTAAATTGTCAAAACTTTTTTTTGTTGAAACTTTGCCCACAGGCACAGCAGAGATGATCGTAATGTCTTCCATCAGCGCCAGTGCCGGGAATGAATGTGATATTTGTAATCAAGATGTCAGATAACCTCCGTACACCATTTTCCAGCAGGTTTGGTGATCTAGGGTATCTTGACGCTGGCGCCCATGGCGCGGACGCCAGGCAGTTTCGGGCTGAGCGGATGTAAGATTCATGATCAGGAGGTCGAGCTACCTCTAGAATCCAACATTCAGCCAAAAAAAAACGCTCTTAGTCAAAATGTGGCTTTCTTCGGAAAAAGGGTAGTAATAGTTGGATAGTGTCTTGTTGTAATTTGATCTAATTTTGTAGAACGAGAACCTGGGGCCGGCTACTACTAAGCAGGGTCATCTTGTTTGGAAAGAGCCGAGCAAAGCTGAGGTATCGAGAACCCATAATATAGTGCTGCAGGAAGTGTTATGGAAGATCGCACGCTCAAATTTCTGACGCAAGATATGAACGCATATTCACGGTCATAACATTAGATAAGGCTTCTAGAGCGTTAGGCTGGTCATGTGAGTGAGGGGTGTATTCGGGGTGTAGAATAAAGGGTTACTGTATAATTAGCCGAGCGCTCTAAAGGCCTGATCTATTGTTATAACCGTAAGTGCGCCTATACTTCGCGTCAGTACATTTCAGCATTTCAAACGTACATCAGCACACACCACGGTATGCAGGCGTATTCCAGCTTACGCTGAAAGCGTTCATTCGCCGGCGTAAAGTATAAACGCACTCCAAAATACGCGTTGATTCTGCTGCGGGTGAGCGTGCTGTGTGCTTCCTTCACGTCATTAATCGTTGCATATTGACGTGGTTCAGCGTATAAAGAGCACGATAGTTGCACTGCTGCCTTTTTTCTAAAATAATCCTTAATTTTTGACCAAATATCGCTCTGAATGGTAGTTACCATCATTACAGCTGCTTTCAGTAATTGCTCTTGAAACGGGCAGTCAAGTTGTGTCGAGGCAACTTATCACTGCTATCGCGCAGCGGGTGGAATTATGTCAGCAGGACGAGTCCTCTATTCGCATATTAGCCGACTCTATTTTAGCAGTACTCGATACGACAAGCCTTGCATTTGAAGAGCAGGTGCTATCTTTTCCTACCAGTTCATAGGGCCTACCAGCAATTCGACTAGCTTTAGAAATGTGCCATTCGTGCGCGACTAGCTAGCCTACATGAGGAAGCCGGTCGTTACGTAGAAGCAGCTGAAACTTTGAAAAAGATTTCCACGGACAGTGCACAGCGGTGAGCTCCTACTGTTTTGAATGCGATTCATTAGTCAGGAGCTTGAGGTTTTTCAAGGCCGTGCTCTCCTGCTCAAAAGATGGCCCTGTACCTGCGCATTGGTCGTTTGCTCCTAGATAGTGGTGACTATGCCGAAGCAGAGCAATACGTGAATCGAGCCAGCTTGTTACAAACTGAAAAGGATTGTGACTCTTATAATGTGGAATATAAGGTATAAGCACTTTGCATCGCTCCATTCTAATATTTACGCTGATGAAAAACCAGCTTTTCATCGAAAAAATGTCATTCCAGGCGATTTATGCCAGAGTGCTTGACGGTCGTCGAAAATTCACGGATGCAGCTCAGCGTTATCACGAGCTATCCCTTGTAGTTGGTTTGCCTGAGAGCGATCAGAAAACGGCACTTTCTCGCTCGATAACGTGTACAATTCTTGCTGCACCAGGTAATTTTTGTGTTGACACTTTGATATCATGGTTTCTCAGTGCGGCTTTCGATTCCGCTCTCATCTTGTAGAGTTGGTATGGAAACAATTCCATTTAGTTTGTTCCGTTCTGATCTCTTTCTTTTCTTCTCTTCCTTTCTTATACGTCTCATGACCGATCTATACCAAATCTTTTAGAGCCTTTCCGTCTGGACTATGCCATTTCATGATGATATCGGCATTTGCTCCCTCATTTCCAAACATTGCTACGCAGTTCTACATGCGAGAAGTAGATAACGATTGGGCCATTGTGCAGAGCACTAACCTTTCTTGGGAAGGTTGATAGGTCGAAGTGGTCGTTTGAAATGAATGTACAGGTTTCATATGTCTTCGGACGATAATGAAGAAGTCGCATTCCATGTCAGAGCGCAGGTTGACTTAAAGACACATGGTACGCTCAAACACATTGAGGGTGTATGAGACTATCACGCCCCCCCCCCCCCCAGCTGTCGATGTGTCGTGGTCCCCCGCCCAAATATGCCCAGGAATGGAGATACAGGACCGTGAAACACGCTAAATCCTCCATGCTCCGTCCTTACACCTTTTTGCGGCGCAGATTCCCGTCCTTCATAACATCCGTTGTAAGCGCGCGTGTCGCGTGCGTCTCCTTGGCACTTTGCCAAGTTCTTTAATCGCGCTCTCAAATACAGTTTTCTGATGCGGATAACATTGGAAGTGCTACAAAATAAGAACAGAAGATGATGACAAGGGCCAGAACTCAAGAGCAACTCGGCTGCATCGGAATTTGTACCGAGTGTGTGTGCTCCTCCAGAATACTTTCCGTAAAGCCGTTCAGAGAGGTCCGCACCAGATGTAGAAGCCAGATCGTAGTCATCAGTCGAAGGCCCTTCAGGATACTGCACTCACAGCTAACTGAGCGGCTGCTTCCCTCCAGCAATGGTGGACTTCGCCTATGATGGAGAACTTCTAGCCGGAACCTCAGGCCCTTAATGAAGATTCCACTAACAACTTCGTCGGCATAAAAGAATTCATGAAGCATAACATCAGGATAAATTCCGTTTTGGAAGGCCACTACAACCTACCATCCTTCCTCGTTCGACTCCTGACAGGTACAGGTTTCGCTTATGAAGGTCTTATGTGTAAAGTTCAAGGGTAAAGGCGAACTGTGCAGTCGCTCCGTAAATCCTGGTCCTCGTTTATGTAAAATAGGTCCGCAGCTGCAGTAGCATGCCACTTTCTCAGGTCCAAAGTGCATGGAAACGAGGCTAAAGCGTGGTAATACTGGGGTGCAGTCTCTATACACAGCCGCACAGCCAACCAGACGGCTGACATAGTCAAACGCTCTACTCGTCAGCGCCTTCTTACTTCGGTTATTCTCTATCGCTGAATGGTGGTTAGCAGCAGGACCTGAAAATCGGTGCAAGTGCTACACATTAAAGGTAGCCCAGGCAGAGTATGGAAATGGCACGCGGTATCAGTATTCTCCAGCCTGATTGCGCCTTCAAGCGAAGAAAGCGTCACGCTGCCGTAGCTGCGGACCCATTCACTTCGCACATAGAACGAACCGTTTTGAAGGAGAGTGTACAGTTTGTCTCCAAGGCTCTCGGTCCTAGAGGTCCTGTTATGTGGACAGCTCACCGCAAATCCAATTTTATGCTGCGGTAAAGAGTAGTACTTCCCAAAAAAAGCTCCGAATAGCGAGGTGGATGGCTTGACCACCAAGTTACTATTTTTCAAAAACTTCATTTTCAGGCACTGCTCGCTCTCGGATGCTGAACACTTTATTCAAGGATCCACGAGCAGCTGAGCTGCCATCGTTCGCACTGTTGGAAAAGCTGTACTTGGATAGATTAATAAAAGCAGCAGAGGTGATACCATTCCTCAAGGGGTTGTTTGATATCTCCAGCACAGTACTGATGTTTTGTAGCTAGTGGAGTTTGAGCGGGAGCTACAACCACATCAGCGAACGAATGAGCATGGCCAGTCAATCGTCGAAGGGGTCATCGTGGAGCACAATATGACGGCTGTCTCGAGACTGTACAATAATATCGCGCTATCCACGCTTGCTGAGTTGTTGGGAATCTCTGCAGAAAAGGTAATTCATTCACTATTCATCGCACGAATTGGTTTCGAAACTTGCAGGCAAACTGTACTCTCACTTCAAGGAGGTCCTTTCCATGTGCTAGAAGAACCGGCTAGTTTTTGGATGTGGCTGTGTACAAGTGAACACTTTCGTCATTGCGTACGCTCGCAACTGTGGCTGAATGGTAATGGTACCCGGGTGCCGTTTGTCACTTGACCCGCACTATGCTCAAGGTGCACCACTTGCGTCACTACCAAAATCCCACAATCCCACGAGCACACAGACGTGGCGAACAAATACGTATGAGAGGTAGCAGCGAAGGAGCGTCTTTGGCTTCGGTTAGGCTTGTTGCTGGCCATGCGGCTGTGCGGGTGGGTCCAACAGTGGCTGTCAGGTATCACTGCCCTCCAGCCCCGTTCACGTGCTTTTTTGACGGAAAAAGGCACACACTGCTGCAGCTACAGACCCGCTCACCTCGGACATTGCAAAGTCCAGGATCGCAGATGATTGTACATTCTGTCTTTAATGGCGTGCCGTGCACGTCTTTTGGCTACTAGCAGATTGCTGGCGAGCTGCAATGCGCCTTAGCTACTCATAAGAGCTTACGCACTCACTGTGTTCTATGACGGATGGCTATCCGAACTATCCATCCAACATTGTATGAAATTAATAATCTGGTTCCCTGCCAAAAGCGAAAATCGTTAAGGTAGTAGTGGGAAAATTTAGCAAAAACGGGACGAGACGGTCAACCACGCGCAAAATGGGGCTGTACATCCGCTCCACGGTTTGAGAACGATTGGTTATAGCCACAGTAACTTCCAAGGCAACAAGGCACACAGGGGATATCAACTAATTTGTTGAAGCTAACGAACAGTAGGTAATTGAAAAGAAATAATACCCTTCGATTTGACCGTCATCTGACGTTTCTGGCCTTTCCTCAGGCATCACTTCTGTGGCCTGTTCGACGGCATACGGTGGGTCATTTTCTCGCGCACTTTCTCAATCGACCACCCAGCAGATTGATCACCCTCGATCCCCTCAAAGGCCTTTCTCCTTCACCACCCTCGTTCACTGGCGCATAAGAGCTATGACCCTTCCTCGAAAGAGCTCCCCATTATCATCCTCAATGAGGAAATGAGCGAGCGTTCGCGATTGTGATGGAACTGTGAAAAAACACGATCTCAAGGGACGGCAATCCTCGAGACGACATCAAAGAATGTTCCAAGCACAAGTAGCGAAAAACTGGTTATTTTCAAAGCGTTGATCGAATGGGGATTGACTAATAGTAAGAGTTCACTAAGGTCTGAATCTCAAAAACTGCAGTACTCACGGAAAATCCTTTCGGAAGCCTAATAAAGATATTTTCGTGACTAATGAGAAGTAACTGCTTCTGATCGGTAAAAACAGCTGATCCGATCGTGATAAGTTATGTGATCACTACTTTGCTGGCCTGCAGCTATTGGGGAGCACTTATTTTGGCAGGCGTAACGGACGGCCTGTTATGCCTTCCTGAGGTGCAAACTGCCGCTCGTTGGGAAACACGCTGCGTTGCGCTTGCTCAGGGACACAGTATCCCTTCCTACATGGCAGATTTACCCTGTCCCTGTCATGCTTAATCATAGACTGGAGTGATTTGTCCGAGTTTTAGTATGTTTAGCATTATTATGTAACCAAAAGGCTGTCACCAATAGTTCTCGCAGTTTGATTGATTAGGAGGGTAGAACACACAGAAAGGACAAAACAGCTATGATTAGAAATTTTTGTTCGCATAGTCGCATGGGCCTTCCCAGTTTGCTTTAGGCTTTTGTAAAGTCTCATGGGGCCCAGCCGCTTACAGATAATTGAAATGAAAACAAAGGGCTTGGTTTCTGATGGGATGAAATCTTATAGATCAGTCTTGTACACTCCCTAGGCGCAGTTTGTCGACGGGGGGGGGCATTTTGCTTTCCATAGATGTGTCACCAGGCAGCCGTTTCTCGAGATGACACGTTTTAGGATAGTGGCTAGACGATCTTAGTTCGGCTTCACAAGTGTTCACAGGTTTTACCACAGTGAGATTTGTAAACCGGAACTAGGGAAGCAATGACAATACAAAATTCCCACCCCACCCCCCCCCCCCCGTCGACAAACAGCGTCCACTCCCTATCCTTGAGACGGAATGGGCGTGGTATTTGAATATGGCATAGGATGGGTTACTCGTATTAGGATATATCAGTTTGGAAAAACTGACATCTTCTGCAGGGCTGAGCAGAGAAATGAGCACAGTTGTCTTGAAATGAAAATATCTGTCCAAAAGCACAGCCACCGCCACGTTTAGTTGAAGTGCGCAGCCACGTCTACCATATCTCAGGTATTCCGAGTGTAAGTCTCGTCCAGTCTCTACGCTATGTGAGTTGAGCAGAGTTCTGGGGAACAAAATAGAGAGCTATCGATTTGTGGTCAATGTGTTGGGAGTCTGTCAGCTTATACTACTCATTTTTTTCACTATATGTTTTTAGGCAGAAGAAATCGTTGCGCAGATGATCTCAAGTGAACGTCTCATTGGTCATATCGACCAGCTCGAAGGATTTGTCCATTTCGAACGTATGTGTCGGGAATTTATCTCTTTTTTGTCGTTGTAGGCGTTGTGGGTTGTAGGTCGGCATTCACATATTTTTGAGTTGAGTGATTTTCCCTTCCCGGTCCACCTGGTCCCCCAGCGTGTCCTGTTTTCCGATGGTCTCCCAAGAAATCGGTGTTTTCGGTCATGGACAAGTTTCGTGATGGTGTTGCCGCATGTTTTCATGTTATTATTATTGCTAACTTTTCCCCGATGCTTGCACGTAGTCTTGTTTTCCTTCATCGAACGCACGACCCAAATAGGAGAGGCCTCGAGGGGGCGCGTTGAAGCTGCCCTGAAACGAGTTGTGATTTAAAGCGTTTCGCTCATTCGCTACTGATGTCCTTGACCGCTGCGTAATAATAGAGTTCCAGGAACTAAAGGAAACTAGTTTCAGTTGAGAGCAAGTTGTTTACGTAAATCTGTACTGGTAATGAGAATGCAAGGAGTTTTCATATGTTCACAAGAGAATTAAATTAATAAATTTCAGAGCGCGATCCGTTGAAGCTTTGGGACGAGCAAATCATGACTTTTTGTCAGCTGGTGAGTTATCGTCACTATCAGTGCTATTGCCGAGTTAGTAACGCGGCTAAAACATAGACACTTCCCGCTTCTACGTAGTTGGTCCAAATGTGAATATTCAGATGCTATGTAAATGTAGTCAAGGAGAAAAGCGGACCAACTGAAATTTCGCGAAGGAGGGTTCTTTTCCCCTCATGTTGGTTTGCAGTGTTAAACAAGAAATGAAGGGGGAAAGTGCAGAGAAAGCGCATGCACGGGCGAGACACCAAGGATAGAGGATGGAAAAGCAGAAAGATTGAGGCGGCAGACACGGTCCCGTGCAGATATGACAATGGTCTGTCACAGAAATTAAGGCCCATGGGTGAGGCCGTTAAGTGGTGGGTGGATTTCCATTGGAAGGAACGCCTCAGCGATAATTTTGGAGCCGCGGGGGCGACATAATTTCTGCGGCGGCGGATGGGCGAGATACACACCTCTATAAGAGCGAAAAAGTGGTAGCCTTACTAGTAGTCACCCTACCCATATGGACTACTTTCTGTAAGGCAGGAAATGTGAGCATCGGGTGGTGGACTGCGTGGCTTAAAGTAGTGAAGATGGTTGGCAGTTTGTCTTTGCCTGCCCACACTGTAACCATTGCATCAGAGAGGAGCACTGTAATCAACTAAAACAACACATGAAGAAGCTCTTAAGCATCACAGACTATGAATAAGTGGTTCGCTTTGTAATTAGACGCGTCACTTTTCTTCTCTACTCTAGTGGCAGACTTATGGGCGCAGCCGGCCCTGGCTGTGGAATGCAGACTCAGACTGAGCTTCCTAACGCTGATTCAAGTAATGGATGATTTGCTCTTGAGTTCCGTTTTCCTGCTATCGAAAGCTCCCTCACACTCCTTATCCCTGAGACGCAGTGAGCGCGGCATTTGAACATGGCCTAGGATGGGTTACTCGTGAGATATTTTAATAAGTGACGGCAGATCTCCTGTTCTGTGTTGGAGAGTACAACTGCCCAAAAACTATTTCACGAAAACCTTGACCTCTGCCATGTTCAGTTCTAGTACGCAGTCCACGCCTACGCAATACGGGGATTTTGACTGTACTGACCATGTCGACTTTACTGAAAAGAGAAATCTAATAGATTAGTTTAATGAAGTGAAAAAGGGTCCCAAATACTACTCTTCTTCCTGCGAATGTGGCCCAGTGCTGTGAGGCCATGTTGTAGCTCACTGTAAGCTTAACTGTGGATCTTGGAAGACCCCTGAACTTGCTGATGAGTTCTACGCGCTTTTTTTACGTGAATTACCGTTGTAATTGCAGGTGAACAAAGTGAGCGATATGATCGTTCAGCAACATCCGGAGGTATTGAGTTGAGCTGTGGTCAGGACACAGCCATCAGTGGCAGCTGCTGTATATCATCAAACTGATCCGTTTCTCTTACGTGTACAAATATAGTCTTTTTGTTATTGTCACGGTGTATTTATTCTTTGATTTTCATATACAGCTATATGAAATGGAGAAGCTATTTTGATTAAGAATGTGTGGTGAGGAGCTTGATTGGCTTTGAAACTATTTCTACCCTGCAGCAAGGTGCGAAGAGGGCTAGATATAGCACGTTGGAGTTTGAGCTGTTCCTTATAAGGATCGTACATTATTCGAAGCGTCATGAAAGCAGACGTGACCAAAACCGGAGCTAAGTGTGCCAGTGTATGAAGACCTATGTGTGAGGAGCGGGTGGGGGAAAACAACGTTGAAAGAAGTGATAAGGATTAGAAACGAGGAACAACTCCCTTGAGAAGTGGGTGGGGCTGCGTATGTGTCGGTAGGTCGATGCTTTTCAGTTAGTGTGGTGCGAAATAGCAAAAATGTAAAAAGTCCTCAAGTCAAAAATTACAAAATGAATTTGGAAAATCATGACCGCTGTTCAAAGGCAGTTGGCACGACGATTTGCTAACAACCTAAAATGCTAGCTGGGCGCTATATTGTGGAGGAAATGGCGAAAAAAGAAGTGAAGTGGTCGGAAATGTGCGAAGAAAAGCTTTCGTTCTTAATGGTTTGGGAAGCAATTTCGAGTTCCCCGTAGGCACATTGCTAACAGGTAGGTGCGGCTGCGCGTATGTACTCATGCCATGCAGCACCGCAGCCACTTCATACCAATCCCTCGCTTCATATTTTACTTAATAACTGAAGCAATACGAGCTGACGTCAGGTACGCTCGTCCATTTGTGGACGCAGGGGCGTGGTGGGTGTCCAGGTCGGTACGTTGTAGCTTGCCCTTCGAAGCGTACTTTCCTTGGAAAAGGCGCTACGCTGCGCTTGCTCACAGATGCGGAAATCCTTCGTGGTAGGCATTTTAATCCTACTAGTCTTGGGGATTTGTCGTGCCAACTGCTTTCAAAAGTGGATGTGGATGTTTGTGGGGGCGGGGTTCCCAGTAGTGTAGAGCGTTCTGGTTATGCAACTGATTGAAAGGTCGTGAATTGGCAATAAACATGGTTTGTCATTCTTGAGGGTCACATCCTCTTATAGCGCTATAGGATGTCTGTAGGGGGGTCATTTCATTTTCACATCAATCAACAAACACATCGTTCAGGCACGAAAGGATAGGCTGGTTGTCATTGGAACTACCATGTTGACAGTCGTATAATACGTAAAATATACGACTGTTCCCTGAGGCAAGAAGAAAAGCAAATCTCACGTTCTTGTCGTCAGCTCGTCCTACGTCAGATCAGTTGCTCAGTTTAGTTGCAAGAGTAAGTCGGAAACACTGTGATTTGATGGCATGTGATTAGTACAGTGATCCTATAAACCGAACCTTGCTCAGTTCAAAAAAGCCCTTGTCTTACTCGCTCTATGACTCGATAATTTTTGCTAAGACGTTCCTTTCGCGCTGATCGCAAATAGATTATTAATAAATGGTGAGATGACAGGGAGGGAACAGCTACCTCTTCAACCAGCTCCTTTGCTTAGAGACAGATGTACTGTACACTCACTCCGTGGATACTGGCCTTTGCCGTGGATGGGGAAAAAGTGTCCGCGCAGCAGTAGCTTGCTTACTCTCTCCGTTCAAAAATGCGCGCGAAGGGTAGTTCCGGTCCCATATTTTGCTCGCGTGTGCCGCAAGGCAACCCAATTCGCTGCCATACTTGTCTGCGTTGTTGTCCACGGCTCCTGTAGAATCCAGGAAATGGGAAAAACTTTCGCATGCTCGTACGCGGCGCGGCTTTTTGACGTCACCGCTGCGGCGGGTGGAACGAGGGACATTGCCCTGCGCCCCCGCGCCACCGCTACTGTGCTCCAACCAGCAGAGTAAGAGCTGTTCGCGTCGTTTTCAGTTTCGCCATTGACTGAAGTCTGGTAGTCTTTTCTGTATTCTCTCTTCACCACTACCTTTACTCACCTATAAGCATTCATTACCTGTTCAATCCTCTTTTCTCTAGCTTTTTTCCTCCTCTAATTCCTTCAAATAAACGCGGCTGCGGGTTGGAGCACAGCGGCGGAGGCGCAGATCGTAGCTCGTTCCGCCCTGCCGCCGCGGTGACGTCAAAAAACGGCGTCGCATACGTTTGGGTGAGTTTCTCCACGGAGTCATAGAATCTTGACATCGAGCCACTCGCCCTGAGGATAGGGCAGACGCAGTGTGGAGACAAAGTATCACTAGAGTTCGCCCCGCTTCCGCACATTTGAGCGGAGAAAAGTTCTGCTAGTGCAGCTACAAACCCATTCACCTCGCACATGTCAAGGACGTCCTCGGAGGTGACTGTATAGTTTGTTTTCAACACAAGCTTCGAGCATGTGCGCTCTGTTGGGCCCGAGCCCAGACCAGAGTACATCGTGCATTGGGAGTTATGGCTGTCATCGTACGATTTTAGGATGAAGAATTATTCGCTCCGAAGTGACTCGAGACGCTGTGCCAGTGCTCGTAACTGCTCTGAGACTGCCTTTCCATTTGTGCAGAGCGCAGTACAGCGGAACTATGTAAGCCTACATAGTACTTGTAGACCTACATAGTACTATTTAGACCTCTGCGTACTGAAGTAAGTTGGAGCAGATTCCACTTTTCAAGCTCGAGTTTCCGAAACATTACGCCTTTAACACTCATTATGTTCGTCTGTGGAAAATGGAAGTTTCAAATAGATATCTTGGGTTAGGCATGTCTTCAAATATCATGGGCACTACCGCAATATTGGTTATGATTCGAGCACTCAAAATTAGGGCAGTGGCTTCGACTTTACATGTGTAAGTGCAGTCAGTGCAGCGTTTCTACCAGTGGAATACAATCCATATCCTGGAAATTCGCGGGGAGAGGGGGGTGGCCGATTACTTCATTTGAGCGTAGCGGCGTCTGGGCTTCTTATGGGATTTTTTTGCTTTGACATCACTGTATTTATATGTTTGTCCAGCACAAGGTAGGATGACATTTCAAACGGGAGCAACTGACAAAGAACGTACCCAAGCCATGTTCAAATGACGTACTCCACGCCGTTACTGGTATATGGGATGTACATACTTCCAGTCTGTTGGGGAATCACTACAGTCTCGCGAGAGGTTCTTTTGTCAGGCCATTCTTTGAACGAGACGTTTCGAGGCGATAACACCTCGTGGGAGGCGGTGTTGTGAGAAGTGGTGCGCTCACCTGCGTGCGGTTCCAGTTTTGAATCTCGGTTCGACTCCCGCCCAGGCAAACCAAGTCCTTTACCTTACGAGAACAGCAAATTGGTGCCAGATATGTCCGGGAGGATAAGTCACATTCACTAAGCCATTACGATTCTGACTGGAAGTAGGATACGTACCGCATCCCACAAAAAGATTGATCTAAGGCGAAGAAGTTATCTTTTGTAAACCTTGTGGGAAGAAATTTACTGCGCTGCAAAAATTGTTTTTGTGAACTGCACGCACCTTTCAGCTGTTCTGCCTTTCTAAAGCGCTTACTAGCTATTACTAAAAGTGAACGTTTCCAACTATTCAAATAGCACTCATTTACATCTAGGTGGCATGGAGAGCGGTGGAATTACACTCTAATTCGATGCGGACGGTTGGGCGTGTCAGGCAATGTGAGTGTATCACACCGTCAAAGCCGTTCTCTGCCTTCTTGTTGAAGTGCGCGTGCGACAAAAAGTGGTAGAAAACGAGTAATACAAACGACATGATACAGCTTCATCATTGGCTTGCTTTAACACCTGGTGCAGACAGGTTTGGCACCACTCCAAACTCATCCTGCCTGACACGCCCAACCGTTCGCGGTGATCTAAGTATACTTAGCAAACAGTGCAAACGCTCAAACCTATACTTTGGCCCACAACTCAGCATTCTTGTGATAACCTATTCGCACTGTTTTCATGCAGTAGTTTGGCTTCGTTGGCGATATTTTGACTGTGCACGATTACAATCTGCTTTTTTCTGAGTCCAGAGTAAATAGCCGACACCTCAGCGGTTTTTTTTTGCAAGAAGACAATCTGATTTGATTCCTCCAGTGTGAGTGTGTGTGGGAGTCGATGGTAGATCTGTAAGTAGTCTTTCGACAGGATAGGTTGACCCTGTGTGAATGTTGCCCATTAACTTAACACCTTTGCCGGGATTCCTATAAGCCGTGATGTTCGGAGGAACCGCTGAGTAAAGCTGGGAGGGTAAACGTCCTGTGGAGATGCTGGATATCACAAGTTGGATACTTCAGCTTCAGAAGTAGTATTTACATATCCCATAGGCTGCGTTTGCAGGAAACACGTAGCGTGTTTCGAATAACGCCGAACAATTTGTTGTCAATCCAGATCCAAAGGTTAGAACACACTTTATACACCGGAGATGGAGTCGTGGCAACGTACTTGATTTCATTGTGGAGGCAGCAACCCCCCGGTGGGATGTGATCATTTGTAACTATGCTCTTGTTCAGCGCAGGAGAGTTACCCAAACGGGAAGGAAAATTGCATCCTACGCTATGATCAAATGAATTGCGCTACCACCCCAACCCGTCTCCGCGATGTGGTGTAGGCTTAATCACAGTCAAAACATGAGCGTTCTAAGGAAATCATGACGGAATGGGAATGAATCTGCTCCGTGAGATTGTAGATTGGAGGTGGTTTTGACTTTCTACCAATGGCAAGCGGAGTCTACGCTAAACGCAAAATATTTAGCAAGATCTGAAATCAGAAACGACTGTAGTTCATTCTGTAGCAGAATGAAATGAGCTTGTCAACATTATAAGAGATAGTACATTCATTCACTGGAATTATAGACTGGAGATAGTACATCTTCACTGGAATCATAGATTGGAAATTTCAGGCTTTTGTTAACTGCTGTTTTACGCCGCAGTACGCGATCCGAAAGCTTTCACAAGAATGCTGAGTCATGGGCGAAAGTCGGACCACGGATGGGAT